GAAAAAATAGGTTAAATAATCAATCATGTTTGGCAATTGACTTTTCTTGTTGGAAATAAGATTTATTAAAGGGATATACACTGTGTTTACTGAAATTACGTTTTTATTACTCTTTCTTGTGAATAGCAGCTGAAGCATGGTATCATTGTTGAGTTTGAACACCATACACACACATATTCTAATGCACATGACTAGGGTAAAAGATGTTTTAATTGATTACTTTTTTTTGATGTTCAATTTAGGTACTTGTGAAATATGAAAATTGAAATTCCCAAGTAGATATTTGGATATGTTTGCCTGGAGTGCCAAGTTAAAACTGGTATATGAATGTAAAAGTATTAATTTAAAGATGATAAAGGAAGCAGAGGCACAGAGAAAGGAATGGGCCAGAAAGAAGGAAGAACTCAGAGGTCCAGGTAAAGCTGCAACCAAGATAGCAATTGCTTTCACCATGAAAGGTGATACCAATGGCCTCCTGTTCTTGAGAAATCAAATAAGAAATCTGCATTGAAATTGGGGGAAGGAAGGAATATGTTAGTTGAACTTGGAGAGAACAAGTCCTTACAATGCTGACAACTGTCAGACTACAGTAGACTGGGAGATGTGGTGACTGACTTCTATTGTCAGTGTGATTAGATTAAGAAACAAAAAAGGCATTAATCAATAAGGCATACCTGTGGCTGTGAACGTGAGGGTGTTTCCAAAGGGATATTGAGGAGGGAAGATGCACCCTGAATGTGGTAGTGCCATTTAATAGGCTGGGTCCCTGACTAAGTAAAAAAAAAAAAAAAACAGGTGGAAAAGGAGGAAAGAGCTGAACATCATCTTTGCCTTTTCTCTGCTTCACAGGAAAAATAACTAATGTGGCTTGTAAATGTGGAGAGTGAGATAAGCTCCATTAGTTGTTTTTTTCAGGAACAAAGACAACACAGTTATTGAGGGTAAAGATAGAGGAATACAAGTGGGGGAACACTGGTGTTGCACCTGACATGTTTTAAAGTGATAAGACAGGAAAACTATGATAGAAGGATGGCATCTATATCAGCAAGGGAAGAGAACTGGAACAAATTTGAGGCTTAAGCAGAGGTTGTTCTAACCCTCAAAGACACAAACTAATGTGGAAAAAGTAATGTGAAAAGGTGTACTTTGTGCAATTGCTGACAATAAGTTGAAAAGATTTAAGTGTCTTTCTCATATCAGAAATGTTGCTATCTCCTAAGCGCGAGTGATGGGGGTGAAGTGGAACATTCAGAAGGAACTCAAAAGACATGAAGTTGCTATATGCAATCTGACTCATTCTTTTTTTCAAAAAGAAAATAAAAGACAACTTATTTTGAAGGTGAAAAACTTAGAACTTTTCACTTTTACACAGATATTATTCTTACTAGTTCAGAAAAAAATTTCAAAGGTAAGAATAATTCACTCAGAATTTGAAGATCTATAAGGAGCAGGGACAAGAAAGTTTTAAATATTAGAAAGTCTAACTATAGTAGCAAATCAGCGACTTTTAGTTGTGTAGGATAAACACTGAGTAAAGAAGTGACCAGATAATTCATTGGTGAAGTTCAAAGGATGACTATAAGTGAATAAACAGAAGCTGTGTGACTAAAAAAGGATTGTGGACATAACGTAATGTTTTAATTTTTGGATTAGTTTCCAGATAAATATTAAGATGAATGTGTGTGGAGGGGGTAAAGTCAGATGAAATAGTGGTGAGGTTGTTCAAACAAAAAGAACAAAACACTTAGAATCCCTCTACTCAGTGTGGGCTGTGCATGGCTGCTGACAATGGATTTGTGGAAGAATAACTGACCTAAAATAGGTGACAAAGTACATAAGAGTATAAATCTAAAAGCATCAAATTAGTGCACATCGTTCAATACAATAGGTTATAGTAGGTGTGGAACAATGCTTCAAGCATCAGTAATGCCTTATCTCAAATGCTGCCATTGGACTGGCCTGTAGGGATGTCTGTGGAACATTTTCTTGATTGTTGAGTGATGTGGAAGTGCCCGACCCATTGTGGGTGGAGCCATCCTTGAGCAGGTGGCCCTAAGTTTTATATAAAAGCAGGCTGAGCATGGGTCTGAGGAACAAGTCAGGAAGCAGCATCCCTCCATGGACCATGCCTCAGTGCCTACCTCCAGCTTCCTGCTTGAGCATCTGCCCTGGCTTCCCTGGATGAAGGTCTGTACTGTAAGCTAACATAAACCCTATCTTTCCCAAGTTGATTTTTGGTCATTGTCTCATCACAGCAATAGAAAGCTAAATAAGACAAAAGTCTAAAATATACTAATTTTCAAGGAAGAACAAAGATTCACATAGGGAAGAGAAGAATCTAAGGATTAAAGACACGGATAGTTTTGTAATATCAAAGCCAAAGGGAGACAGTTTTCACAACACATCAGTGAAAGTACTCTAAAGAATGAGAAAGCAGGTGTGGTGGCACATGCCTTTAGTTCAAGCACCTGGGAGCCTGAGATAGGCAGATCTTTGTGAGATAGAGGCCTCCCTGGTCTACATAATGGGTACCAGGCTAGCTGGAGCTACAGAGAAACACTGTCTCAAAAAGAGATGCATGTGCCAACGTCTCAGTGTTAGTAGCAAAAACAATGAGTCTTTCTGCAAGGAACAATATATTCTAAAGTGAAATGGACAACTTTTTTAAAGGTTAAAACTCATTCAATTTTATGTCTTACAGGGCTTATACTGAGTTCAGTATTGTATAACTGTATTAATTCAACTGTGAACCTAGAAACTTACAGCCACTTGTGAAAGAGATATACTCTTGCTCTGGAGTGTGTTACCGAATATGTTAAAGCTGTAATGAAATGCTTCTTCTAATCATGTAGTTATTAATTTTTTTAAATAAATAATGGTTACAAAAAGATTCAAGTGAAAAGAGATATTTGGTTAATGTATTGACAGACAATTTGATTTAAAGCCTGCCTTAGTTACAATACACATCATTGTGACAAATACCTAAACAAAGCAACCTGAGAAAGAAATGGCTTTTTGGATCAGTTTGAAGCTACAGTGTCGCAGAGGCAATGATGGCCAGAGCTTGACAATTGCTTACCTTGCCTCTGCAGTCAGAAAGCAGAGACAGAGGAATGGTGTGCTAGCCTGCTTTCCTTTTTAAATTTAGTTTGTGTCCCCAGCCTATGGCGTGGAATGGTCCACATTTAGGCTGGATCTTCTGACTTCCTTTAACCTCACCTAGAAAACCTTAAAAAAATGCCTAGGAGTTTGTTTCCTTGGTGATTCTAAATCTTATCACATTAGCAGCATTAACCATCACAGATTGAAACGCAATGCATTATGACATAGAAACACACAACTTGACAATAATGCAGAAATTGCGTTTCCTATGAATCATGCCATGCAGTCCTGGCACAATTTTACATGACAACCATGCTGAATATATGATCTGTCATTACAGAAGTAATCACGGAAAATTAGTTCTCCATTTTAAATGACAATCCCTTGGGCACCAACTTCCCCAAATAATATAAGAAATATGAAATTATTAACATTTAATTTTTAATGATATATATCTATTATTATGCCTTCTGTTACAGAATTCATTATATCTGCTAAAACTTTGCAAGTAAAATATTATTGTTGTTCCTTATAGATTAAATTGTTGAAACTCAAAAAAATAAATAATAATTTAGATTACTCTGGAAAAAATAATTCTTTAAATTTAGAAATAAAAAATAAAAAGAATGATAATTGAGAGAGAGCATTATTAGAGAACAGAAAGGATTGAGACAATCATAGAGCATTCCAAAACATTGGGGAAAAAGCCCAATAATTTCCTCTAATTATCATTATGAGAGTTCTCCAGATTAAGCCTCCTGCTGAATGATTTCAATATAATCAAGATCTAGCACTGGTTTATATCACAATACCTTGAGATAGACACTGTTCTAAGCACCTGCCACAGATACACTACCAAAGATACCAGTCTGAGGGGAAAATCACTGCTTCCCCAAAAGGAAAACTTTCTCATCACCTTTAAATTGAGATTAAAAAAATCTTGGTATGTGAGGTACTCTTATTTACTAAATGGTAGTCCAGAAACCCAGCAAGTTCTAAGCGCATAGCTCAATATTATGTGTGTAAGTGGGGCCAGCACATGAGTACGTGGTTGAACCTGCCAGTGAGGATGCCATTCAGAAGCCAGAACAAGATGTCAGGTGTCTTCCTGCATGTCCTCAGGCAGGATCTCTCACTGAACCTGAAGCTTGCCTTTTTTTCCAGCTATGTTAGCTAGCCAGCAAGCTCCCAGAACAGACACTCTCACACACGGTCATTTCCTCTGTCCTGCCTCACTTTTCTGAGTAAGGAACCTGCTTCGACTTCTAACGATTCACAGAAGATGCTTCAGTATGGCACTCAGCTATATAAAATACATGATAAATATATGTATTTCTTCTTTTGTTGTTTTTATGATCAACCTAGACACATTATGTATTTTTTCCCATTAGTTTGCAAATGATAAATGACAGCTGAGGAAAAACTGGTTAATATATATATATA